AGGGCCTCGGCTGTTTTGACCAGGCAACAAGCTGAGAAGCAAATATGCATATTACTGATGCAAGAACCCTGGGTAATCCGGGGTTGCATCAAGGGCTTGGCGGCTTGCGGTAGACTCTTTAGGGCCCCATCAGTGGATCGGTCCAGGGCCTGCGTGGCCGTCAAGAGTATGGAAGCCTAGCTAATACCTCACCTGTGTTCCAGGGACGTTGCGACTGTAGAAGTGGATTTCACTGCTGACTCCGATGATAGGAGGAAAATGGTTGTTTGCCCGGCCTACTTCTCGCATGACGAGGGAGAGGCGGTGCCGCCTGCACCGGTGATAAAACTGGCAGAATACTGCCAAGAGAAGCGGCTTTCCCTGATCATGGGATGTGACGCTAACGCGCATCACACTGTGTGGGGAAGCTCGGACACCAATGAAAGAGGAAGGAAAGTGTTGGAGTTCCTAGCATCCACGGATCTGGAAATTCTCAACACAGGAGACGAGCCCACCTTCTGCACTATAGCGAGAAGAGAAGTGCTCGACATCACTGTCTGTTCCAGGCAGTTGATACAGGAGGTAGTGGAGTGGAGGGTCTCGACGGGCCCTCGCTCTCAGACCACAGGCAGATCACCTTCAAGATAGCTAAAGCTAGGGGGAAGGAGGTCAAATTCAGGAACTCGAGGAGAACCAAGTGAGACTCTTATAGGGAAGACCTGGCCAGCAGTCTCAGAGGCTTCCCTAAGAGGCACGGGACAGAAGACGAACTGGAGACCTGTGTGGACTACTTGCAGAAGTCTCTGGTAAACTGCTACAAAAGTAATTGCCCCGAAAGGGCAGTTACAAATAGTAGAGGAACTTCCTGGTGGACCCCTGGACTGCAGGGTCTCAGAGTGGCGGCTCGCAGGGCCTGGAATAGGGCTAAGAACACGGGTCGCCAATCCGACTGGAGCTCTTTAAGAGGGCACAGACGGAGTATAGAGACTCTGTGGTTAGGGCGAAACTGGAAAGCTGGAGAAAGTTTTGCAAGGAAGTGGAGGGAATGCCCGAAACGGCAAAAATCTGCAGGATCCTCGCTAGGAACCCGGATGCGACTACTGGAAGTGAACTTTCAGGGCTTCCATAGGGAGCCGGGAGAGCTATTTGCATTTAAGGAGCCGGGTTCACTCAGAAGAGCCCGACAAGCGGATTGGCGAATGGCGGCCAAGATTGTCATGCCCGAGATGGTCAAATGGGCAATTAACGCCTTTAAGCCCTACAAGTCAGCGGGACCGGATGGCGTCTTTCCGGCTCTTCTACAAAAGGGACTGGAACAGATCGTGGGCCCACTGACTCGACCTTAAGAGCATGTATCGCGATGGCTACACACCCAGCGCATGGAAACTGGCCAGGGTAGTGTTTATCCCAAAGGCGGGAAGAACGAGCTACACCAAGGCAAAGGATTTCAGGCCAATTAGCCTAACATCGTTTTTCTTTAAGACATTGGAGAAGCTGGTGGACACGTATCTGAGGGAGACAACAGACTCTGTGGAGGCATCTTCTCCATAAAAATCAGCACGCGTATCGTCCGGGCTATTCCATCGAGACTGCTCTACATCAGACAGTAGCATTTATTGAGGAGCAGCTGGAAAGGAAGGGCTACGCAATGGGTGCTTTCTTGGACATAGAGGGCGCCTTTAACAACACACCGCACGAGGTAGTGTGTGAGGAAGCCGCCAGAAGAGGTGTCCCGATCAAGCTCGTCGAGTGGATCCGGGGCATGCTAGGAAGGCGTGTGATGACTTCGTTGGGAACTGCGAAAGTTTGTGGTTGGGTGGGAAGAGGCTGCCCGCGGAGTACTTTCCCACTTTTATGGTGCCTGGTAGCAGATGGATTATTAAAGGCACTGGACGATAGAGGCTTCATTGCACAAGGCTACGTGGATGACGTGGCAAAACTTGTGCAAGGCCCCTTTCTAGAGACGCTTCTAGAGCTCAAGCAAGGGGCACTGGAAGTCGTAGAAGAGTGGTATCAGAGGACGGGTTTAGCGGTGAATCCACTGAAAACCGGTCTTACTGTCTTCACTCGCAAATATAAGGTGGGCACCATTGTGGGACCCACTCTTGGAGGAGTAAGGTTAGTTCCGACCGAATCAGTGAAATATCTGGGAGTTATTCTGGATAGGAAACTGCTTTGGGAGGAGCACCTTCGTAGCCGGTGCAAAAGCTTGTGCCAGTATTTTTGGATGTGCAGAAGGACCTTTGGCCAGACTTAGGGTTTGAAACCGAGTATGATACACTGGATCTACACAGCCATACTTCGCCCCAGACTCACATACGCAGCCGTAGTATGGTGGACTAGGGTGCGAAAGAAAACAGCCAAAGTTGCGCTTGAGCATGTCAGGGCTCTGATTTTGAGAGGGGCCCTGGGTGCTATGGTTACAACACCAGTGGCGGCGATGGGCGTAATGTTCGGCATCGAGCCGTTTCACCAGGTGGTGGTGGCTGCTGCAGCAATGGCGGCATACCGTCTGAGATGCGAACTAAAATGGAAGAAGGGAGCCTAGCATACGAGACTGCCAGAAGACGTTCTGTTGGATCCGATATTCGAGATGCGACAGGACAGAATACCTATTATTCGGGCTTCTGATAGGCGCTTTAAAGTGCATATACCGAGGCCAGAGGAGTGAGAAAAGGAAGGTGGAAACTTAGGGGCTCGAGTGCGTAGAGGGGATGTCTGATGTACGGACGGCTCCAAGACCGACACGGGCTCCGGGGCCGGCTTCTTTGGCAGTCGAGAGGGATGGATGGACAGCATTTCTCTCGACAGTTATGCCACGGTATTCCAAGCGGAGATTGTGGCTATCCTAAGCTGTGCTCAGACCGTGCGGAGTAGGGAAGAAGCGGGAGAGTACATCAGAATTTGTACGGACAGCCAGGCGGCCATCAAGGCGCTGGGGGCTCCGACAATAACATCGCGGTTGGTTCAGGAGTGCAGAGGCGTTCTGGACGAATTGGCGAGAAAAAGAGAAGTCATCGTTACCTGGGTGCCTGGTCACTCAGGGTAATGAATGTGCGGACCAGCTGGCAAGAGCGGGTTCAGAAATAACGATGGTAGGACCGGGGCCGGCTCTGGGAATCCCCTTTTGTTTAGGAAGGGGGAGGATCAAAGAATGGCTCCACAGAGAACATCTAAGACACTGGAGAGTGGAATCTGAGTCCAAATGTAGACAGGCTAGAGCTCTGATGGGAGATACTCCTAATAGGGAACTGGCTTGGAGCATAAGGACTCTGAGTAGGAGAAATGCCAGGACAGCGGTACAGATACTGACGGGTCATGGTACCTTAAACTACCACATGTACAAGCTTGGGCGTAGCGATACATCCAGGTGCAGGGCATGTGGAGACGACGAGGAAACAAGCCTTCATGTACTCAGCGACTGTCCTGCACATGCGGGGCTGAGACACAAGATGCTGGGCTCAGCACTACTTGGGCCCGAGCAGATCAGGGAGCTGCCGGTGAGGAATCTGATTCTCTTTTGGAGAAAAACAAGTCTCTCATGAGTAAGTTCATGAGGGGAGGCACAATGGACAATGTCTAGGTGCCGCGGACGGTGCTTCAAAAGAGGAACGCCCCCCCGTTATGTTATGTTATATGTTATGTTATATAAATCATAATTTTAATATTTAAAATGCCATTTGATTTTAAATTAATTTGTTCTTTATTTAACTTTTTACTTAAGTTGTGTATTGTTTTAAGAATAATTTGTTTTATATTTTTTTTATTGCCAATAGACAAGCTTGTCTAACCCAATTGACAAAATATAAGATTTGTGTACGAAATCAATATACATTTTATTATAAATTATACACATATAATGGAATTCTCATATAGCATAGAACATTGCAAATACATTATAGTAATGATGCAACATTGTAGATTGCAATGTAATATAACAGAAAGAGAAAGAAAGATATTGCAGAAATATAAAACTATATCATAATTCTATATTCCTGCAATATCTTGGTAATACTTAAAAAATATATACTGCTATATTTTAAAGTTAAACAAGAAATATAATTATTATACATTAAATTGTAAAATATAATCAATAATTCATAATATTTAAGAAGATATCACTGAAAATAAATTCTATATTGTGTGTATACTAAAAGTTTTGATAATAAAATTCTTTTTCGAAAGTAAAAAAATTCTAATAAATGCAATAATATACAAAATGTCTCCGATTTTAACGAATAAATTTTAGCAACAGATATAGAGACATTCAAAATAAAAATAGCAAATTATATAAACTTTTTCTTATTTTCGAATGCTTTTATGCATTCCCAATATTTATTCATTAAGAGCGGAAACACCTGAAAATTATAAATTATAAGTTACAAATAAAATTTGTAATTTTTAAATGCTTTTGCTCATAAGAGACAAACATCTGGAATGTGTAAAAGGGCAATCGAAAATAAGAAAGTTTAATTATTTTTATTTTAGATACTTCTATATGTTCTTGAAGTTTGTCCATTAAAATTAAGGGCATCCTGTGCATTATATATATATTGCACTACAATATTATCATAACGTCGCATTGCAATATTTTTGAAGATATATATATATATTACCATTGCTGCAATATAACAATATTTCAGCAACATTTCGCAACTTCTGTACAAATGTTACAATATTGTAATAAAATATTTCTACAATATTCTTGAAATCTTTCTATATTGTATATTACCTGGTTTTTATAGAAATATGCACGGAACGCATTTAATAACATATGCACGGAACGCATTTAATAACATACTCTATACATACATATATGAATCGGCTTGTCTCGTTTACACGCCAAGTTGGTTGCTTTATGTCGGCAACTACTTAATGCAACCGAGGAAATACGCTCATTCGTTTCCGATGAATCGGTTCACGATAAACACTATTAGTCTGTTCTTTATAACTGAACTGGCTGCACTTGTTCAGAGTTTATCTTTCTCCTTCCAATGTGCAGCCAGTTCAACTATAAAGAACAGACCAATAGTCATAAATTTGTCATATTCGAGTGCGTACCGAATGAGTCGTAGTTCGTAGTCATCTTCGAACGACCATCATCTGGTATACTGAGATTTAAGAAAGTTTGAGCAGATTTTCTGTTAAGTCATAAAACCTGCAAAATAATGCAATTATTTTCGATAAATCATAGTTAAAGAAAGAATGTTGATTTAATTAAATTTATTTTGAATAATGAAATAATTCTAAATAATAAACTATTAATAAACATTAGCATAATGAACAGAAGCGTTAAAACTAATTTTAGAGAATAGTTTAATTCCTTAAATAACAAGGAATTTATTATTTATTGTAACTTTGTTTTTTATTATATTTGGTTTTTATTAGTTTTATTTAACGTACGATAAAAAAATTTAATGTATTCTTTTATGTTAAGTAATTATTTATCAATTTAAGAGTGATTTAAAGCTAGAATAATCTTAAATATGAAAAATTGTGAAAATTTCGATGAATCAATTAATTTCAAATTAAGCATAATTCTGAGTGAGTTATTGTTCTAGATGAGTTTCTTTCTTAAAATATATATAACATATTTTGGTTTATTCGAAAGTGACATCACTAAAGTTTACGTTCACTGTTTCGCGTGTTGCTTTGGTACGAATTTCTTATGAAACGTCGCGATTAATAGCGATGCAGCATTTCGCGTGTCATCCACCTCTCATACGCTCCGCTAAATGTCTGACGGCCTGCTGAACGAGATCCTCGCCTGTTCTCGCCTGATTCCGCGTTTTTCCGCTTCACGCGACGCCGCGTTTCTTTTTCATTTCGACAAAAGTCATTCCACCGGAAGGGAAGCAACGCGGGATACAAAGTGCTGCCACGTAATTGGAAACCCTCGAATATCAGCCGTGATCGTCTCCGGTAGTCTGTAGCACCGCGTACGAAATCATTGCATCTTATTGTTAGTCTTTCAAGAGCTTAATATGATTTTGATATACTATACTTGAATACAGAATACTGAAACTAGGATATTTAAAGATTGCAATAACTTTATACTATTTAAACGGATTTGATTGAATAATTTAAACTTGGTTTCCAACTTTTATTTACGGGAATATTGAAGCAAAATTCTGCATATATTACTTACATCTGCATTTCTATTATATTTTTACAGTTTTACGAATTTAAAAACTTCTTATCTTTTCTGTTTGTTTTTTTTTATGTATAATTTACTGCATCGAAATTTAAATAAGAATAACGGTAAACAGCAGTGATCATCATCACGCAAGTTATAAAAATTTCAAACCTTCAGAAATAAAATCAATAATCGTTATTGGCGGAAAAC